GAAGTGTTTACTTTATGCCATAAGTGGAATAACTTATTAATTTATGCTTTAAAACTTTGTGTAGTCACTTGAAATTCTGTGCAACACTCTGATCAAAAGGGATCTTGCCATTAGACAACCCAAAACACCAATTGTAAGTGCTCTTGATTGGCTTCATTTTGTGGCAAAACTTTAGAGTGTGCATGTATGTCATACTGAATGGTAGGACATACTTAATGATGTGTGTGCAGGTTAAGTTAACTATAAGTTAACTTAGTTAAGCTGAATGTCATACAAAATGTCATAACATTGAACGTATGACATCCAGCAGGCAAGTTTATTTTTCTGGTATCTATAAACCAGGAAACAGAATAGGAGCTCAAGCTGGATATCATGAGATTTTCTAGAAGCCCTATGCGAACTAAAAGATCCCTAAATTAAGTGGCAAGTGTGCATCATTGAAATTAGGTTTGTGATGGATAAAACCTATTTTATGCACCAAGGCCCAAGAGGACTGACAACTGCTATAAGATCAGAAGATGCAATCCTGAACAACAGCTCTTGACTGATAGAAGAATAGAGAGTGCAGATTGCAGAATCCTTGTAAGTGAAGAAGGCTAGCCTTCACGTGTGAATTCTGTCTAGGAATGCCTGTACTCCAAGCAATTGTCTGTGGATGATTTGCATTGGATAGGTAGATTCTAGGTTGTGTCTCACTCAAAGCTGTGAAGCAAGAGTGTGTGAGTTCCTTGATCAAAGTTGTGAAGCAAGATCAAGGTGTGTATGAAGTGTCTCTTCATATTGTCTCCTGTAATTGTTTGATATCATTGTTGTGTGATTAAGGGGGAGTGAGTGGGTATACTCAGGTCTAGAGTGTCTCTAGGCTGAATTGTCATTGGGTATGTTTTAAGTGAGGAGTGCAAACTGTGTTATTTGACTCTGAAATTAATTCTGCTAATTGTGAAGTTCCTCCCTGGCTTGGTATCCCCCAGATGTAAGTGTTGTTGACACTGAACTAGGTAAACAATTGTTGTGTTATTTACTGCTTTTATTATTCCTGATTATTAGCAGTTAAGTAGCAGATGTCATAATGGATGTTATAACTTTAAGAATAACATCCATCGTGTGCTTTCCAGAATTTTCACCAATATTTGCAACAAAAGATTGATTTTGCATCATGTCATGCCAAGTTGAAACCTTGAAATTTAAGTTCTGGACCTCAAATTCCTCTCTTCGGTATCTCACAAATGCTATGAAAGAGTTATTGTAATTTTTGAAAAGCCCTAAACATTCCCTACAAATTTCATGTTTTAATAATTTTTTGAATCAAAAAGGATCATGGTGAAAACTAGCCTTGAAGTTGACTAAAAAATGAAGGAACAAAACTTGCCTTGAAAAAATCAAATTGTTTTTGAAATTCTTCCAAACTTTGAAGCTTTATAACTCAAAATCTAAGCATATTTTGCTCATAAGTCACAAGGACATTTTTGTAGTACATGAGGATATATACAAATTAATATTTGGAAATCACCAAATGGATGTGCGGATTGGAAGTTACGGCCTTTCAAAGTTGGCACCAAAGATAGGGTTTTTCCACACTTAAAAAAAATTCAAGTTTATCCAAGTTTCCTTCTTTTGTAAGAAACCTATTAAATCTTGATTTATTCATGATCAAACTCATGGATTAAACATGTTTTGATGAAATTTGTCTTGGATGCTCCAATTTGAATAAAAAAACTCTAAAGTCAAAGAGTTAAGTTTGTCACTTGAAATTTGTATCATATGAACTCAACTGTGTGATCTTCAATGAATTTTCATCTTAGGACTTTTCCAAAATAATAATAAGGCTATAATTATTTATATGAACATATGGAATCATGTCTCAAGGCTTGGGGTCATGTTTGAATCAAAAGTCAAAGAAACAGTTGACTTTTCCTAATAAAACCCTAATTTGGGGCCAGATGAAATTGGGGTTCAATTGACTTATAGTGATATCAACTTGAACTTGATTTTTGTTGAATACAAGCCTCTTTAGGGTATGGGAACTTTATTTGATGATGATCAATCAAAACTATTGATTGTTCAAGCAATAGTCCTTTTGATTCCAAAGGTGTAAAATCCTAATCCAGATGAAGTTCAACAACAACAAACTTGAAAAAAGGTTAGGGTTAGGAAACAATGCTTGATGCTCCTAAATGGTAATGGAATCTAGGGGTCAAAATTTGGGGCATGACAACGTGAATCGGGTCCCCAAACCTTTTTAATCCTTCAATTGTTGGTTCGATCATCTGAAATTAATTACATTTGTCAAAACGGAATGGAACTCGTTCGTTGTGGAAGGTAATGCTACACATGTCCTGATAATGAAATTAAAATTACTCAAAAAGAGACTTAAATGGTGGAACAAAAATATCTTTGGATGGATGGATTTATCGTGGAACGTGAGGCTGTCATTATTAATGAAGTGGAAGAGGAGCTAGTTGTTGCTACTGCGGAAGTTTCAGATGCAGAGTTACTTAGAAGTGAACAAACCCAAATCAATTTGTGGAAGAATTTACACATTGTAGACAACATTTGAGATAAAAATTGTGAGTTAAATGGATTCAAGATGGGGACCAAAATACTAAATATTTTCATGTTATGCTTAAACATAGGAATAAAACAAACTTTATTTCCTCCATCCTTGTTGACTCAGAATATGTGGAAGAGGTTCAGTAGGTGAAGATGGATGCAAAGTAACATTTCAAAGCAAGATTCCTAGCTTCTATGACTCTTAGACCAGAGTTTGAATTCTCAGGAATTTCAAGGTTGTCTGAAGAAGATATTAACATGTTGGAGGAAAAATTTTGTGATGATGAAATTAGATAAGTTATCTTTGATGATGAGGGGAACAAAAGTTCAGGCCCATATGGTTTTAACGATGAATTTATTAGAAGGTGTTAGGACATTGTTGGCACTAAGATCATAATTTGTATTTAGGAATTCCACACTTCTGCTTGGCTTCTTAAGGCATTATCTTCCTCCTTCTTTGCATTGATCCCAAAAAAAGATAATCCACAAGAGCTTCATGATTACAGACCTATCACACTTATTGGTTGTATATAGAATATCTGTGAGGGCAAACTGTCACACAACATATGTTCTCAAGTTTCGATGATGACAAAGTACAACCTCGGACCAATCGGAGCTGTCAGTTCTACCCAGAAGACAATTGCAATACTTAACATATCATATCCTTCCTATATCTCTTTAACTCATCATATTATCATTGGAAATACATGTGATTAATATTCGGTCATGACAAAACGCACGAAACAACAAATATATCATTTTTTCATATTTTGAAGCTATGAGTCGACCACCAGTCAGCGCATAACATAGTTCACTTTCCCACGGGTTAGCGCATGGCAACCTTGAGTCGACCACCAGTCAGCGCATAACATAGTTCACTTTCCCACGGGTCAGCGCATAACATAGTTCACTTTCCCACGGGTCATCGCATGGCAACCTTGAGTCGACCATTAGTCGGTGCATGAAGACTTCACATTTCCCACGGGTCAGCACACGCCGACCTATGGTCGACGCATACTGTTGGGTTTTTCATATTGCCAAAAACTGCAGGCTATGCGTCGACGCGTAGACCTGCTATGGTCGACCGTTCGCGCGTTGGTACAGTTAATGAAGTATTTCCACTGTGTTTGAAATCCTGTTATGTTAGTTGATTGGCTTATTACTATAAATAGAAGGTTGCTCATTTTAACATAACTAACAATTGCATTTTGAGTAAATTGTGAAAACAAGAAAAGTGAAATAGGTGCCTACATTTCTCTTCATCTTCATCCTCAAACAATACACAACACTACAATTACACACAACCATTCTTGGAGTGCTTTGTGTCTCATTCAAGGTGATAAGGTTCGAATCCGTTGATTGGAGATCTGGTTCGGGTAGAGAATAGTGGCAGGTTTTTCTTGAATAAAACCTTGATGGTTTTTCCCTCTAAGATTCTACGAATCTGGGGGTTTTTGGTACGGATCGTCTCTACCAACATTCAAGCGGTGCGAAGGTGATTGAGAAACGGAAGATTTCATCAATCTAGTAGTTGGGGCTGTGAAGTGTTGAAGGGAGTTCTGGGTTCGATTCGTTGGTGTCTAAGATCAGTCGATCCGAGGGTTTGAAGAACTGAAAGTTATTCAACAAATGGGCTGGAATTGGAGATCAATTCACAACAATGGAAGGTCTTGATTCAACTCGAATCAAGGAGCAAGAAGTGATAGCATTATCAACATTGATAGGGAGTGTTTGTATTATTTCTTATCATCTCTTGTATAAACTACTACAACTCTACAGGTGATATCTATTATAATTTATCTCAATTCTATTTTTAGAATTAAGGGCAGACGTACCCTGAAGCGAGGACGGCGGTGGAACTGCCTCAACAAATCTTTGTCTCCTTTATTTTTCAGCATTTTCATTTTCAACTTAAAAATTAAGTGATTTTAGTATAAGCAATTATATCAAATTTGAACATTGAATTGAGTAAGTAACTGGTACTGTTTACACTTTAGTATAATAAACATTGTACAAGGATTTTCAAATTACTTACTTAAGTCAAAGTTCACTTGGAGTGTTTTGCACACCAAGTGTTCGATAAATTGCCTAAACCAAAGCTTACTTAGTTTACTTGCTGTGTTTTGTGGGTTGTGTTAAGCATTGGAACTAGCACTACTAATTAGTGGTGAAATCAATTGATTAGTGTGACTAGTGTGTTGAATCTAATAGTTCATTATCTTAGTCCATAGGCTAAGACGCATATCCGGTCTTCTAATAACGGTTCGTTATAGACGTGATTTTTTCTCGGCTGCTTCCGCAATTTTTTTAAACAAATTTTTTAAACCAATTTTAATTGGTAAGCGCCAACTCAAATTTTAAATAGGGATCTATTCAACCCCCCTTCTAGATCCGCACCATCGTCTAACAATATCATCATAAAACTACTGGTTGTGAGACTTAAACATGTCATGAGGATGCTGATTTCAAGCATTCAAACCACATTCATAAAAGGTAGAAAATTGCTTAATAGAGTATTAGTTTTGAATGAAATTGTTGATCTTGCAAAAAGAAGCAAGAGAATTTATGTCCTATTGAAGGTTGATTTTGAAAAAGCCTATGATTGCATGGATTGGACTTTCCTAAAGAAAACAATAGTGGAAATGGGATTTGGCGCTCAATGGATAAAGTGGATGGAGGAAACAATTATGAATAGCTACTTATCGGTTCTAATCAACGGTAGCCCTACTCAGGATTTCAAAGTCTCAGAGGGACTTCGACAAGGAGATCCATTATCTTCTTTCTTATTCTCTATGGTAGGTGAAGTTTTGAAATTATTGGTGAAGAGGGTTGTTGATGCAGAGCTGCTCAAAGATTTCAAGATTAATAATAGAGTATCGTATAACATTTTGCAATATGCGGTAAACACCATTATTATTTGTGATGGTGCAAGGCACAATCTTTGGGCATTGAAATTGATCTTGAAAGGCTACGGAATAATCTCTGGCCTTAAAATAAATATTGGGAAAACATCTTTATTTGGCATTGGAGTGGAAGATGGTTACTTAAATGCGACATAATGGTTCTTAGAATACATGATAATCTCGTTGCCTTTCAAATTATTGAGAGTCTATGTTGGAGGTAATCAACGTAGAATTCATTTTGGAAAGCAGTGGTAGATTATTTGAAGACTAGGTTATCTAGATGGAAAGGAAATCTATTGTCCATAGGAGGGAGGATCGCGCTTATCAACTTGGTTCTCACAAATATTTCAGTACATTTCCTTTCATTATACAAAATTCCTAAGAAATTTAAGTTGTCCATAATTTCTATACAATGGACCATTGCAGAACATACATTTACGGTTGGCTATATTAATTAAAATTAATAGACTTTTATTAAAAAAAACAAAAGTTAATAGACTTTTAACATTCCAAAAACAAACTTTAATGGTTCAGTAATGTCTCTTCCAATATTCCAATACTCTCACTATCATTGAACTTTCCTTTTCCTTATCAACATCTTAAAACATTGTTGATATCATCATCTTAACAACATCACCATCTTGGCATCCTCATCAAAATTATTTTTGCTGTAAGTTTTAATCTCTTATTTTTACTTCTAAATCTTAAAACTTTATTGTGTTTGTAGAAGAATGTGATTGTTGTAAGCATTATATTCTCTTAGTTTTTTTTATTAGAGTGTTTAAAAGTTTGCTGTAAGTTTTAATCTCTTATTTTGGAATTTTGGAATGTAGAATATTTTTTACTATGTGTTTGTTTGGATGGTAGTTTGTAATATCAATTTGTATTTTATTATTTAGTTTTTATATTTTGTATTATTTGGTTTTGCTAATTTGAAATATTAATTGTATGACTAATGAATTAATATTTTCGTTTGTATTTTATAATTCGAAATATATGTTTGAAATTCTTCAAGATTGTATTTTATTTTTGTAATACAGGTTAATATTTCTTAAGATTGGGACAGGTTTTGGGTTTGGGGCGAAATTTGGGTTCAGGGCAAAATTTGGGTTTGAGGCAGGATTTGGGTTTGGGGGCGGGGCGGGAATCCCCAAACCCATTTGGGACGGGGTTGGGGTTCAATTATTCATCCCCGCTGGGGTTCGGGGCGGGGAACGGGGATTTATTTGAGATTCGGGTTTGGGCTTGGGGAATACAAAAACCGTCCCCGCCCTGTTGCCATCCCTAGATCAAAGTGTTTATGTGGTGATTGGTCTTAGATAGACTTCCTACACGCCTCAATCGTGCAAAACATGGCATCATCAACATTTCTCATGAGCGGGTATGCGTTTTTTGTTTTACTTGTGATGAAGATGTTAACCATATATTCTTTACATGTTATAAAACAAAAAATACTTGGAGGCCTATTTTTTGTTGGTTTCCTATGGAAGACATCATTGTAGTAGAGGCTTGGGGAGATTTGTGGTCTTGGATAGATAAAGTTAGAGTAAATATTTCGATACCTAATGTAGTTGGAATATGGTGTATTTTTTGTTGGAGCATTTGGTTTTCTAGGAACCAAATCCTTTTCAAAGATGAAATAGGAGATCCGGAATTGGTGGCACAAAAAATTATACTAAATTCTTAGTGGTGGCTTTCCAAGAAACCCAACTTTCCTGGACTGCGCCTGTGGCTGACCCAGTGTCGAGCATAGCCTAATCCAGTTATACACCGAGGATGGCCCAGAGTGTTGGCCCAACCCGTTAAGGCCAGTTGAGAGCACGTTCCACATGTGTCCCTAACCCGAGGACACATCACCAACTTGGCCAGCATACTTTGCAGAACCATTCTGACCATTGAAGTTATGACAGTCATCCGTTGTTGGCCTGGACACTGTCATGCCCTAATTTTTGATCCTGAGATTCTGTTTTTTTGTTTCGCATCGTCTACATAGCATATCACGCATTTTATCATGCATAATACCCAATTTATTAGCTGGAATAAACTTTTGGAATTACAGTTGAATTGATCAAATAAAAATCAACTGTGTAAAATCAGTGGACGGAAAATTTCAAGATCGATCCTGCAAACATCAGTGATATTAATCTATGTTTCGCGTAGTTTAACCTGACGTCCTCATTTAAATTTTTCGACCATCTTTTGGACGTTTTTTGGTCAGTTAAGCCTTTTTAGAGGGTAAAATTTATTTCAAAATCTGATCAAACGTGTATTTTTTTCGAGTCGTTTACTTTGCGCTGATTATTTTGGTGTGTTCATTTTATTTTTTCGAGCACTTTTCTGCCCGACTTTTTATTTCGCTTTTTAATCACTTTTATTTAAATAGTCATTTAATTTATTTAAATTTAATTAGATATTTAATGTAAATTTTTATTTTTATTAATTAATTTTATTTTTAATTTGTTTATTTATTTATTTTTAAAACACAAAAACATAATTTTTAATTCTTTTTATTCTTTTCTTGTAATACAAAATACAAAAACATGATTTTTAACTCTTTTAATTCTTGTCTTATTATAAAAAACACAAAAACATAATTTTTAACTCTTTTTATTCTTGTCTTATCATAAAAAAACACATAAAACATGATTTTTAATTCCTTTTATTCTTGTCTTATTATAAAAAAAAAACATTGTGTTAATTGTTATTATCATTCTTGTCTATTTTCTAGTCCTATATATATATATATATATATATATATATATATATATATATATATATATATATATATATATATATATATATATATATATATATATATATATATATATATATATATATATATATATATATATATATATATATATATATATATATATATATATATATATATATATATATATATATATATATATATATATATATATATATATATATATATATGCATTGGAAAAAACAAAGGGTACGCCAAAAAGAGAAAAAAAACAAGAAAAAGGCAGGGAAAAAGTTTAGAAATACACACACAAACCTTTTCGGCTGAACCATATCGCACCACACTCTTTTCCAGCTGCGGCCGCACCTTTCACCACTGGCTATCATTTTGATCACCTCCGCTTAGTGACGTAACATCTTTCGATTTAGGTATCGCCCCTTGCATCTTGTTTTTATTTGTTATGTTATGTCTAAATCTGGATCTGTGTGGCTTTATGAGTTGTGATTGTGAGAATTTAGTTTTTAAAAAAATGATTTTTTTTTAGGAAATGAGAGAGAGAGTAATACTGCTACGTTGCTTCCTTTTTGTTTTGCTTGACTACATATTATTTTTATTTTTATTTTAAAAAAAAAAACTCTATTTCTATGTGTCGTCATTCTAAGGGCTAAGAGTTTATTTGAAAAGTCAAAGTGAGGGAGAACAATTTGGATCTAATATGTTCCTTCTCATCTTATGGTTTAATTATTTTTATTTTATTTATTTATTTATGATGTTGGTTATTATTATTTTTTTAAAAAAAAATTAAAAATGTCAAGATAATATATTAACTTCTTTTTGGCTAAAATCAAGGGACTAGGATAATTTTTTTTTGTTAAAAATGGTGTTGTCATCTCACGCAGACCATCATGTTTTTTTTATAAATAAAAAATTTATACTCTTTTTCTTTCATTCACAATGATATATTATTATTATTATTATTATTATTATTATTATTATTATTATTATTATTATTATTATTGGATATGATTTAGTGATGTATGTTAGGATTATGAGTTAGACTTTAAGTCTTTTTACTATTAATACTTTCTAATTACAGTCTACTAATTAATTATATTTAATTCACACCTCATTCTTTTTAATTATTGTTATTATTTTATTTAGGTAAATTAATTCATAACACCTTGTTTAGTTAGTCAAATTAGTTTAAATTATGATAATTAGAGTTAACTAACACTTTTATAATAAATATTATTAAGACTAAACTTTTAAATAATTAAGATGGTTAACCTATTTAAGGGTAGACCCATAATTCAACTTCATCTCTGATAAATCGAATCAGATTATGTCTTATGATAAATCTTTTGCATGACAACAATAAGATAGCTTTTCCCTTCAATATTATTTTAGATTCATAGAATTAGGTTAGTTCCCTTCGGATGTTAACTAGACAGCCTTCAATTAGGTTCCCTTTTCTCCCATGAGAGAATTAGACATGAGTCATTCTTAGTCGAGATATAATTCTCCTACCCCGTGACATAGTTGAGAAAGATGTAGATTATTTTCCACTTGAGTTAGAGTCTTTCTCTTAATGTGAAGCAAAGATCCATCTTCAACATGTTTGTGGTGGTTTAATATGAGTATTCTCCTTAAGATGACAGCTTATCTCTTCTCCTAAAAACCAACTTTTTTCTTTTACTTTGTTTACCCCTTGATGGGAACTAAGAATGCTCTGATTCCATTCCCGTCAAGATACGTAGGCACGAGATGCGATGTCTTGACGAGCATACTTAGGAATAATACCTTAGGTATCTTTTTACTTTTTCACCCTTTAGCAAACAAATTAACAAATAATACAGTAAAACAAGAGGTTCCCGTAGATTACTACAAATACTTAGGATGCTAGCATCTTCCCTAGGTATAACCAAATCCCGAACCTTAGATTCTCTAGCGTTGCATTGCATTGCATACTCATAGGTTACTTTGATCTTTTTTCCTTCCCTTGGACAAATTAAAGACTGGTGGTGAATAATAATTTGTGATTCAAGTTAATTAATAGCTTGATATCTGATTCTCACTGCAACAGAAATGACGACTTCACTAGGTACTTGCGAGGGTTCCCCCTAACTTGTTTATTTGTGTTATTAGTGTATATATATGTTTATCTGTGTATGTATTCCTGCTTTGGGTTGTAATCTCTGTGTGATGAGATAAGTTCTACACCCGAACTTGAGTGAACTTTTGATAGGACAATGATATATTCAAGAAGGTTTATAGGGAGTTGATTCCCGACCAAGCTAACTTGAGAAATCACCACTCGATTGAGGCCCTTTTGAGAATAGTATTGTTGAACGAGTATTCGTGAAAACACTTCCTATTTTCGACCTAGGAGCCCGTGACATGAGAACCTTGAGCTACCCTTAACTCAAATTGACTTTCTTAGGACATA